TAAGATGGATAAATATTAATTTTATAATTAAATTAAAATTTTTTTTAATAATACTAACAAAATTAACGGTGAAAATAACCATACCCTTAAATGAGTGCTTGTCTTTTAGCAAAATAAATGAGTGTTTTTTTTTTTAGGTAAAAGCAAAATAAATGAGTGTTGATTATAGGCTAGAGCCCCACAGGTGTGTTATTACCTCTGGACCATACTGCTTTGATCTCTCTCAAAAACGGACTAGGAGTAGGAGGCCTGTGGATCACAGCAAAACCCAGGCTCTGGGTCATTAATGCAAGCCCAAAACAAAACCCCTATTTTAATAAACAATGAGCTCAAATCAACAGAACAGAGTAACCTGGTACTGGGAGAAGGTAGGCTCTTTATGCAGTTTGCAAAGCACACAACATCAGTTTTCCACGTGATTTTACCCCATGGAATGAGATGTCAAAGTTAGGCATCCTCCCATGTTATCTGCTCTTTGTTAATTTTCTATTCGTTCTGGACCCCTTTATAGTATAAAATATGTGTTTTTCAGCCTAAATAATAAAATTATAAATTTTTTTCTTTATTAATTCATTAAAGATACTATAGTGATTTAACTACTAGATTGCATTTTTTATGTGTAGTTTTAATAGGAAAATCAGTAAATCTTTATTTTCCTTTTTTGAGAAAGTTAAGATACAAAGCTATATATATATGTTTATATATATACAAGCTGCTTAAAAAGACTTTAAAGTTTTTTTTTTCTTTTTTTGGTTCCAAAGAGAGTTGAAAGTTGCATTACATTTTATTCTGTTGGTTTTACCATCTCTGGGTCATTTTACATGTTCCCTCATTTTGTTGACTAGCCCTATGATCCTAGTATTCTTTCAAAAGAAAAAGGTAAAAGGAAAAAAAGCAAAAGAAAAAAATGGTGCTTTTTTTTTTTTTAATCTTGGATGAAGGTAGGCACTTTAGTTGGAGAAAGCAAATCCACCATGATGTCAACCTTCCTGTCTTTTAACCCAAAAAATGCAAAGACCCTTTAACACTTTTTCATTTTTTTCTTTTTTTTTTTTTCACAGAATTTTGCAATTAACAGAAGCACAAATGCTTGTTGCTTATTTTTATTAAGTGAGAAATTTTTATATTAAAAAGTAACAAAAAAATATGAATTAAATATAAAAAAAATTATGCAATCCTATTATTAATTAGATTTAGGGTGCATTCAACTTTTGTATCGAAGTTTCAATGCTAGAGCACACCCTAGCCTGTTCCCTTCCAACCCACGAACTTGATATTTTTTTAGCCATGAGAAACTTGAATAATTTTGGCAGTTTCAGCCTTCCATATGTATTAGATGCAACACGAACTGTGTGTGTATCTAAAAAAAAAAAAAAAAAAAAAACCTCCATTAATTTGGGGATGAGAGAAAATAAAGCAGGGAGAAAAGATAAAGAAAGGTACTTGCTTTCTTGTCTATGGTGTACGTACAAGGAGTCTATATATTGGCTATACAAAGAGAATTCAGTTAACTTATTACAATACAACCAAAAAATTTGGTATGTGTGAATGGTTGACAGCTGAAATATACCATAACAAGAGATTATTGCAATCAGAGGACCAGCGAAAAGAAGTTTTGGACTGCCCATAAAAGTGGATTAGAAGGAATGTAATGTTATGAATTCAAATGTATTGCATTAACAAACAACATGATTGAATTGAACCAGTAAAGAACTGTTGAGATGCTGCAATAAGAAATTGATTAAGTCAAAAGAATGCACTAATCAAGTCTTCACACAATGAGAGATGCATCACGCATGACACATCCATCTCCCTCTGAAAATTTGCACCACCCCGTAGGAAACATTAAAAAAAGGATGGTGGGGTGGGAGCAATAGTGGGGAAGGAAGAGATGCCTTTTGCTGGTTATAATTGGCATCGACTTGCTTGTCCAATTGTCATTGGAAAGCTCACCATTTTCAGTCCCAATTGCGGGATTCCAAGCCTTCCCCTTCTATAATAACCCAAAGCCAGTTACACCCTTCCCTTCTCCCACCACTACCTCTTACAACCCCAACATTAACAAACATTTTCTCAACTCAAAATGTTGGATGACTATAGATAAGTATCATTTTATAGATTAGGAATAGAGTTTAAGTGTTGAAGTTAGTATCTAAGAAAATTATTTTTTTTAAATACAACAAGTTAATATAAAGTATGCATCCATAAGAACACTTAAAAGAAAATTAATTTTGAAATATATAAAAACTAATTTATTGTGTCTCACCATAAGTACCAAAAAAAAAAAAAAAAACATTTTCTTTGGATTTTGTGGGCACTACTTAGTCCCCTACTCCTCAGAAAAGCTTCCGCAGTTTCAGTTGTAGATACATTTTAGGAAAAAGTTCAATGACTTGCTCTTGTAAATAAACAAAAAGCTACAAAAACAGAGAAAACCAGAGTATTCAAATTTGATAACGTTCTTAGAAATTGGTTTTTGAATTCTACAAGCTTCCATTGGAACTCATTACATCATTTGTATTTATTTCTAATCTGTCTTCTTTTGAATCTTCTATCATTTCTCTTGAATATTACAAAAGATTCCATTGAGAAGTGAAAATTTTCTGTAAAATATATATTACCAACTTCAGACTAACAATCCTACATCTCCAACATAAATTTGGCATTGAAGATAAGAACATGTCAGGGTTTCCAAAGGATCTTGATATTACAATTCATAAAAACTAATTTTCCTGATTCAAATTTTACAGAGACACATGTGTCTCTAAGCCCATCTTGTGTTTATAAAAACTGAGAAGTTTTCCTAGAAAAATCTCAGTTTATGGAACTCTCCACCTGCTACGTCATTAATTTGTAAAGGTGGAGACGTTAATTTTTGTCATCCACAATTAAAGAATATCATTAATTATAACTCCATGATTCCAAGGATCAATGAGGATGTCTGTCAAATTGAATTAAAAATAGGAAATCTTTGTAACTTACTCAGAAGATGGATGTCTGTCAAATTGAATTAAAAATAGGAAATCTTTGTAACTTACTCAGAAGATGGATTAGTTTACTTGTTTTTCCTCGATATTCCTCTAAATTTTGGCATTGAAAAACACTCCATCTGGCCTGTGCAAGATCTTGATAATAAGATAAAATAGAAGTTTCATTTGTTTATTTATTGGGACCGCAAATTGCAACCCCTGCTGCTGGTAATATCTATCACATAGGTCCAAAGATGCTGTCCTGCCTGATCCTAACCAATTTGCTTATCATGTTAGTTAAATAACTCAAGGGTTTGCAGGCTGTGGTTTGGCTGGAACTTTGCAAAAGGATTTACTAGCTATTCACTTTGTCGATTATTATTATTTTTTAAATACTTTGTCTATTAAAATTTAATTTCTTGAAAAGACTAAGATGATATAATTCACCACTAATCTCTAAATTTAAAAACGTATGGTTACTTTAATTTGAGCATGTTATACCACATAAACAGTTAACCAATAATGTTCATAATTTCATAACTACAAGGTTTAGGTTAACCTCCCACAGTCATTGACTCATTGGAAATTTGGAATCTTCTGTATAGATTAGGCTTTTGTATTTTACTGCAATCTCAATGTAAAAGGTCTCAACTAAAAAAAATTAAGGAAAAGTTTCAATCTTCCTCTCTCTTCGTGATGATAAAAGAAACTTTATACAAGAGAGTACTGAGAATCACGACAAGAAGAGAGAGACCTGAGGCTGGCCATCTTTGCAACACACAGGACTACGTACGTCTTTTCTTTTGAATGGATCTTGCCGAGGTCAAGAGGCAAAGCATATTTTATTATGGAGATTCCATGACAAACGTTAATCAGTTTGATGCTGATGGACAATTTTGGGTGCATGGCTATATGCCTAACTGTTGTAAAAGGGAGATTAGACAAAGAGAAACCCCACGAAACCTCATTTCAAGCATCCAATGTCTCCTTTAAGCCTCACCTTTCATCCCTTTTGAGGTGAAGCCTGCTTTTCATCTAACCATACATCTCTTAGCAACATACATTTGGACGTTACATGTTCTTGATTAGCGTTCATAACCCTTAAGATTTGGCTGCACTTGCTCAAGACCTATCTAAATGAACCATAAAAGGGAACAAAAAAGTAGATCTATTGAGGACAGTTGGATGCTAAATACGAACTTATTACCTTCACCCTAATACAGTTTAATTCCTCTCTAACGAATTTTTTTCCCTTTGCATCCACTGGTTGGTGCAAGGAGATGCCCCATTCAACCAAAGAAGACCAGTTAAATTCCATGGTTGAAGTTGCATCGATAACAAATATGAGGTTTTTTTTTTTTTTTGTGATAATGGGTACACAAATGTCATGTATTTAGAGATATACTAATCTAAATACATGCGTGGAAAGACACTGGCATACAAAGTAGAGCACACAGTAGCAGACAAGGCGGGAGGGCCGATCACCAACTCCCACTTGCTTCACAACAAGAGAAAAGAATGTGGAAATTGAGATATTAGAGAACAAGATTATAATATAATTTCATTTACTCTAACAGTCATAGCCACTATTTATCATCCTCCCCTCCATTTGTCCACTTCAACTCTCTGGTTTGGGTGAAGACTGTCACTTTTGGACCTTTTGACATCAAAGGGTCTACTGTCATATATAACCTATAGCAACTTTCGTCTTCCCATTAAACCCACGAGCTGGTTTGCATCTTTTGATGCAAAAAGGGGCCTCCCCCATTGCAAAAGCTAACTGATTTATAACGATTGAATGAAATTGAGTCACTTCAAGGAGAAGGGTCACTGGTTAAAAGCTAAAAGGCCTTACCTTTTATAGCCGTATTTGTGGGTTTTTATGCAAAGCGTTTCAGCAGCTCCCTGCCATGGTCAGACTCTGTTCTTAGCAGCGAAATGATCGTTTTGTGCTCTGTGGACATGTCCTGGAACCTCTGCGGTCCTCAAATGCAAGAAGACAAGTGAAGTCTGGAGTCCAATTACCAGTAAAATTGTAGTTCCATTTGGTCTCTGTAGAATAGTAGGTGCGGTTCGTCTCCCCCAGAACCCATCAAGCATTCGCTTGTTTTTTCCATTCAGACAGTAATAATTGGTAAATGCTTCTACCTTGTTCTTAATTTCTGCCCCCTGTTTCTGGGATTTTTTTTCCTACTTAGAAAATTTTGTTTTTGTCTCTGTTTTTCTTATCAGGATGGAACTTGAAGGCATTTCGGACACCAAAATGTTGGGATTGAGAGCGACACTGGGGCACAAGCGTTCAAAGAGGTAGCTGTACGATTTTTTTTTTTTTTGGTAAATACCATACGACCTTTTTTCCTGTTTTTGGGAATGAAAAATGGATAGGAGGTGGGTTTTCTCTTCTGGGAATGACTTCTGAAATGGGTTAATGAACAACAATGGAAGCTTGAACGTTCACAGTTAGAAAACGGGTGTTTCACGAGTGAAAAACTTGACCAGACTTCGGATTTACTTGTGGTCCAGATGAATCGATGAAAGATAGTTCTTTTTTGGGAATCAAATCGTTTCTGCTATCCACTTGAGATATGTATTAGTTACATTTTTTTTCCCCTTCTTAAGCCTTCTGTCTTCTCTTTTCGATAACGTCTGAAATTAATGAGTTACGGTGGTGTTAAGTAAATGAAACCGTTTTTCAGATGTGTTTCTGAGAAATAATGCCACGTGGATCTTAATTCTTAGGTGAGAGTGAGGAGTCTGGTTTTCTTCCTTGCAATGGAAATGAGAAAGGAAATTGTTGCTTGGGTTTGGCTGAGTAGAGTATCTATGCAGCAGACGAGGTCTGCAATGACAATCTTGAAAACCTGTCTTCTGCAAATTTTAGCTATTGATTCTTTGTGCTTGATTTTTGGCCATGGCAGCTTTCCTGAAAAGAGAACGGTTGAGGAAGATGGCCAGGATAGTTCTCTGGAAGCATCAAACCGGATAAAGCTGGTAAGTTAAACCCCTTTTTTTCTCTTTCATCGCTAAAGATATGATAACTGTTAGTCTGTGAAGATGGTTAGAAAAGTTAAAGCATAATGATTTGATTATCTTACTATTGGCTACCTTTTTCTTGAATCCTATGTAAACAAGAGGAAGGCTCTAAGTCTAAGCATAATGACAACATAAACTCACCACAAGAATCTCCTTCTCCTCTTTGCCATATTCCTTTTTTATTTTTAATAGTTTTTCAGCTTCATTGTTCATTGATGCATGTGATATAGTTTATGAATGCTGATTCAAGTTTGAATCATAAAGTCAATGCCTTCAATAGAAGTCACTCTTTCAGCTTTAGAATCTAGTTAGAGCTGAAAAGAAAAAAAAAAATATTGCATTTCATTTATGCAAGGAAGCCAGGGTGCAAGGCCTTGTTAGTTTAGCTGAGTTTAGCATTGGTGGCCAATCTGATTGCTTTAGATCATTGATGGCACACTCATCTTGAATGACTTTCTCCTAAGGAATAATTCTTATTCAATTTTGGGGTTCTTAACCTTTTTGTTGTCTGGTGTCAGGATATGAGGCAGATGAAGGACAATTCCAAACCCAAGAAGCAATCCCCTGGCTCTGAGGTCCAAAATTCTCTGAAGCTAGAGGTGTGAACTCAATCTGTTCTTCATTTTAGTCATGGACTTGAATCATTGCTGGAAATATGGTGTTAGGCCATTACACATGACCAGGCTGCAGCCTGCAGCTGATGAGTTACAAACAAATAATTCTATCTTTTATGCAGATTCTACAACTTGAGAAAAGATTACAATACCAATTTGAGGTCCGTCATGCATTAGAAAAGGCATTGGGACATAGACCTTCCTCTAATGATAATATAAATGAAACATCAATGCTAATACCCAAGGTAGCTTCTCCCATCCTATTTTTTGGAAATACCTTTTAAATCATTTTAACAGAATAGTCCATGGAGTCCTTACATGCCAGCATCCATCTTAGGATTGAGTTTCTTGACTTTGTTTCTTTCCCTTCTATTCTACAACGTATTTGTGTGTATAGTCTCTCAACTGCCTTTTTGTTGGTCCAGCCCACTACAGAATTAATTAGAGAGATTGCAGTATTGGAGGTGGAGGTTGTATATTTGGAACAGTATCTTCTCTCATTGTACAGGAAAGCATTTGATCATCAAATGTCTAATGTATCTCCTTCTAAAAGGGATAAAAGATTGAAATCATCTTTAGCTACTCCAAGAGGGAGGTTTTCAGAAGTTTTGGTGCCTGATATTACATCAAAAGCAGAAAATTCTGCTACTGAATCTGGTTTTGACAATCCATTGAAGGAGCCTAGTGGTATTGAAGATGAAGAGAAACTAATAGATTCTGGCGTCCATCACTGTCATTCCTCACTATCACATCGTTCAACATTTTCTACAAGAACTTCTCCTCCTGGAGAGTCTTTTGGAAAGGCTCTACGTGCCTGCCATTCTCAGCCTCTTTCCATGATGGAGGTAATGTAACCATTTAACATACAATATAAGATATTTGGTATTTGAAGGTCTTCTGTAAAATGTAAATATTAACTTTCAATTGCTTCCCTACAGTATGCTCAGAATGCATCAAACATAATCAGTTTGGCTGAGCATCTCGGTACACGAATTTCAGATCATGTTCCAGAGACACCAAACAAGCTTTCTGAAGACATGATGAAATGCATGTCAGCTATTTATTGCAAGCTTGCAGACCCACCTTCAGCACATAATGGTCTCTCATCTCCAAATTCATCTATGTCCTCAGCTAGTGCATTTTCACCACGAGATCAGTATGACATTTGGAGTCCTGGGTTCAGAAATAATTCATCCTTTGATGTACAGTTAGATAACCCTTTCCATGTTGAAGGGCTTAAAGAATTCAGTGGACCATATAGCACAATGATTGAAGTGCCATGGATTTACCGAGATAGTCAGAAAGTGGGTGACATTGAACCCTTGCTAGAAAATTTCAGGTGAGTCTTTTTGACATGCTGTTTTTCTGATAAAATCAAGTTGCTAGTTTTTCAATATGCTTGTCTAATAATCCTGTTACAGGTTACTTATTTGTCGATTGGAAGAGGTTGATCCCAGGAAGTTGAAGCATGAGGAGAAGCTAGCCTTCTGGATCAATGTACACAATGCACTAGTGATGCATGTAATTCTTCTCACTGAAAGCATTTACTTTACAGTGCCAACTCCATTGTTTAGTTCTATTTCTTATGTCGTGGATATAATTAACTTTTTTTTTCCCAAATAGGCATTTTTGGCTTATGGCATTCCACGGAATAATGTGAAGAGACTCGTTCTACTATTGAAGGTAAGGACAGCCTCCCTCACTGACCTGAGTTGAAGAATGAAATTGGACATAGCATTTGGTTTCTTACACTCTTGCACTAGCCAGGCTGCATACAATGTAGGGGGCCACACCATCAGTGCAGACACGATTCAGAGTTCCATTCTAGGGTGTCGGATGTCTCGTCCTGGACAGGTGGGGTCTCAAACAGCAGCTTTAGATTCTTTTGCTTGAAAATCTTTTAGGGCCTGTGCAGATATGTTTGATGCTGGGTCTAGAAATTTAGCATTCTGTATGAAAAGGCTTTTGTTATATATACTTGAATATTTTTTTCCTTGCACTTTGGAACCTTTTTTGGTGTAAAGAAAGGCAAAAGGAGAAAGACAAAGCAGAAGGATTTACTCAAGAATGATTATGACTTGAAATGAAGCACTTTTACGTTTAGCTTACTTTCATTCAACCTGATGTTTTAAAGTGTTACTGATGCAAACTTTCTCCGGTTTGTAGTGGCTTCGCATATTACTCTCTTCAAGGACAAAATTTAGGCCTGGAGATGAAAGGCAGGCATATGCAACTGAGCGTCCAGAACCTCTTTTGCACTTTGCACTCTGTTCAGGAAGCCAATCTGATCCTGCGGTACTTAATTACTTTTGATCTGTTTTGTTGTCTCTATTCTAGTTCAACTGTGCTGATGATATCTTCTAGAATCACACTTGTTAGTTGGCTATAACACAAGAATATATTCATGGTTAGCAAGAATAATGAACAAACTAAATTATCCTATTGACTTGAAAATTTTATTTAGAATCTAATTTGCAGTTGGCTATTCTGATTACTTTCATGGTAATACCCCATATGGTGTGGAGGGAAGGCATTTCTTTCAAAATAATGGAAACCATTCATTTCTCTGCCCTTAGGAGGGTTTAGTGGTGATGAAAAGCAGGTCATAAAGACTTTCGTCTAGTCTACAATCGTATTTAACTATTATAAGTGATGAACATAATATACAAATTGGGATTGAAGTTATAATATGGTAAACTGTATCTCAAGATATATTTTGCCTGCAGTTTCTTTTGCACAGGGAAAGTATGAAAACCTTATGAATATGGCAACTCTCTGTTTCAGGTTCGTGTATATACACCAAAGAGAGTATTCCAAGAGCTGGAAGCTGCAAAAGAAGAGTACATCCGGGCTACTTTTGGCATTCGCAGAGATCAGAAAATACTTTTACCAAAGATCGTAGAGTCCTTTGCAAAGGATTCAGGTTTATGTCCATCTGGTATTATGGAGATGATCCAACAGTCTCTACCTGAATCGCTGCGTAGGAGTGTTAAGAAATGCCAGCTAGGAAAATCCCGGAAGAGCATAGAATGGATCCCTCATAATTTCAGTTTTCGTTATCTAATATCCATAGAGTTGGTAAGATGATTGTGGTGTCTTTTTGCCATACCTGCATCTTTTTGAAGAGTTGATTTTGAAAGATATAGCATTTTTCTTGTACAAAGTAGAAAATTAGGAGGAGAATGGTAGGATATAACATGGCAACACTGGCTTAACTGTCATCATGTTGTGGCCCATATTGCCAGTCACCGGAAAAAGTGTCTGTCTTTTGTAATATGAAGGACTCAAAATGTACCAGTGAATTATTGAGGTTTGTAAATAGATTTATTGCAATTCTCTCATGTCATTTAAAAATTACCCATGATTCTCTTTACATTTTTGCATGATTACGTCCAACTTTTTTTTTTTATACTTGGTGTTTGCATGGCAAGTTAACTATAGACAAATGAAAGTTCCTAATGCACAAAAACATATTGTAATGCAAGCAAAAGTGATGCAATATGGCTAGCGCCAGAAGTGCATGCAAGTATAAATATATTGTTGGGCTGGACTGTGCTAGGGTTTGGACTTTGGACTAGTTAATGGTGCATTCCCGTGGGCTGGGTTGCAGCATACGGCTAGAAGTGCAAGCTGGGCATGCACCATGGGTTCATGGCTAAATTGTCCATAATGATATTATGAAATGGGATACACGTACGCATACATCTATATATTAATGGGTATGAGCCCTATGAGAGTCTGAAAAATCAAGACATCTTAGCACTCAGAACACCCATCACAGTTATCTGTTAAGTGAATCTCAAGGGTAGGATTCACTTACGAATGGTTGTGATAGATGTCTTGAGCGTCAAGCAGGAGCGGAGGCAGAAATTTTTTTCAGGGGGGTTAAGAACTAAAATTTTCAAAGTTCAGGGGAAGCTAGATGTTCTTTCATATACTAATTTGCAAGATTTTCAAATTTCAGGGGGCGAGCGCCCCCCCTCGCACCCCCCACCTCTGCCACTGGCGTCAAGACGTCTTGATTTTCATATTTCTGAAACCCTATATTACAAAAAAATAGCTAAAAAATACTTTAAAATTACACTTTTCTAATAAAATGCCATGAGAAAAGATTAAAATAACTTTATTTTTACTTTAAAATTTAGATATTTTAATCTTTTTAAATAAAATTTTATTAAAATGATGTAGTTTTAGGGTTTTTTTACTTTTTTTTTTCATAATAAAGGTTTCGTTTGAGAACGTTTATTGGTATTTTAGT